GGACGTGAGGGGTGCTAATACCTTCCCCTTGCGTAACCGACTCCCGGACCCAGAGATTTGGTTGCGATGACCGATCTTATCCCTTTTCGCTAGGTTTTATCCTGATCGTTTCCTTTCCCTTCTTTGGGATAAATAACGATAGGTGGCGACTCTTCTGTCTTTGCCGGCACCTATTTTCGCAGTAGCGACATACATGACAAAACACATTGGATAATAGGGTGATCCAGTACTCATTCATTATCCTTGCAAAAAAAATTCCTCTACTATAAATAGAGGTCATTTCTAGTTGATCAAAACACACCAAAACAATACCACAACCTTGTTTTTTCATTCTCTCACTCTTGCTCAAAAATTTAAAGTTTCAAGGATCAAACTTGGAATTCTTAAAACCAGAGCCTAAACCATTCAAACAACCATCCAAGCACATCATAAATCATCCATTGGAGGTGTTCAAACACTCACCTTCATCTCAAATCACCAAAATCAGAAAGCTAACCATTAAAACCTCAAATTTTGACTTTTTTTCATTTTTTAAGCCATGTCTTGATTCATTCCATTTCAAACTAAGAAACACCTCAAACAAACTCTAATATATACCCTTAAGGTGTTCCAAGCATTGTTTCTCAATTGTAGCACAATTTGAGGGAGTTTCCATTTTGGTCACTTTTGCTAACTTTGCAAGATAGAGCTAGTTTATGTTCCTAAGGTTTTCCTTGGATCTTGATCATTCTAAAATATTCTAAGGTATCTATTAAGAGTGTCTAAGGCATTTGATTGCTTCTGTCACAAGTATCTTGAAGGTTAGCAAGTGGAGCTTCAGGAGGTAAGTGCATAAGAACTTGAACTTTTTGAAATATGAATTGCTTTGATGTACATTGATCATGAACATGTCATACATATCATATTTGTTGTGTTTAAACTATTGTATCATGCTATTATTCATTGTATAGAGTGGTAGCATAGAACTTACAAAACATGACCTATTTTGAAACCACTATCGTGTTTTAAAATGTAGGCATTTTTAGAAAAATCTAAGACTACCATTAGATTCCTCATGAAATTTTAGGTAGGATCCATCTTTATTTCATCCATTTTCATGGAGAAATGAAGAAGTTATGGCCTTCTTGCAATTGAAGAAAATCTGGCCTCCCTTGGGCAAGAACCAGGCCATGGGCGTCTTGTTTGGCCACGCCTAGGTCACTTCTAGGCATATCAATTAATGGGTGTGGTTTGATACACGGATGTATCACCACCCCAGTGCTTGCAACACGTGTTTTCATGTGTGTTTGTGTTGGAGGGCGTGGGTTCAACACCCACCCATGCCATTTTTCACATTTTTCACATTTTCACCATATTTTTAATATTTTTCATTTTTTTAATAATTATTTTTGTTAATCAATTTTAATTATTTTAAAATGGTTTTTTCGCACAAATATCACTCATATATTAAAATATTTTATTCACCCAAAAAATTACAAAAATAATTTTTATTTGATATATTTTTAATATATTTTAAATATTATTTTTAAAATTGTTTTAAATGTTTCTAAAATAATTTCTTTTTCTTGATACTTTTAAATCAAAATGATTTTAAATATTCATGTGGATAAAGTACTTTTTCATAAACCTTAATCCTTGTTTTTAACATGATTAATGATTTGTTTGATAAATTATACATATTTTATTTGATTTTTCTTTGAAAAGTATCTTTAAAAAATATGAAATTAGGGTTTTGTTTTGATTCAATCTTACAAACTTCATTTTAACACTCATGGGCCTCTATTATAGTGTAAGACCCAACCACCCTATGTACATAAATAAGTTTTGGGTCTCTACTATAGTATAAGTCCCACAACGTTTTTCGGTATCGCGGTTCGATCACTGTTTTCAAATAAATCATTTGGGCCTCTCCTTAAGTATAAGCCTCAATATTTTGTACATAAACCTTGTTTTAAACAATAAACAATCTCCGTGGGCCTCTCCTTGAGTTATAAGCCCTATACCTCTGTTTTCAAATTCACATGGCCCTCTGCTAGGAGTGTAAGTCCCATTTCTCTGTATATAAACCTTTTTTTTCAAAATCATATGGGCCTCTATTAGAGTGTAAGACCCAACACCTTTTGTAAATAGAAACCCTTTTAGCTTCATTCATCCTGGGCTTTGTACAGGGTACAAATAATCTCATGGGCCTCTATCTAGAATGTAAGACCCAACACCTTTATTTACTTAGAGATCAAGTCATCTCCAAAGTCAAAACTTTCTTCAATTTCTCAAAACCCTAACTCAGTCTTGAAGAAAACATCTAATCAATCACAGTACACTTGGGCCTTTATCCAAAGTGTAAGATCCACCACCTTTTTCAATTCAATTTGCACTTGTTTGTATGCTTATCCATATATATGTATGTATGCTTGTACATATCTTGTTAAGTTTCTCATAGCATTTAAATCATCCTTAGTTTAGACTAGTTCGAACCATAGGATCCTTATCAATTAGTATAACTTAGTTCAAACAACTAGCTCCCCCCTGTACAAAGGAATTATTCTTCCCAATATAGTCAACCTCCTCTTGGGTTTTATTCAATTGATTCAACCTTGAAAAACTTCAATAAAGAGAGTATTATTTCCCTGTGAAATATCTTCTTAAACCCCCTTTAATCTTGGAACAGTTTAATAAAGAAATCATTATTTCTCGGTGAAACCTTTCTTGAACTCTTCTTCAGACTTGGATAGTCTAAATTCCCCAGATATCTCTTGGGCTTAGTACAAGGACCCACGGGCTTACTAGAAGCATTCCCATCTCCTCTTGGGCTTCATACAAGGACCCTCAGGCTTTCTAAAAGCACAGGATAGACCCTAGTAATCCCTATCCCTACATCCAATCCCAAGAAAGCCAAAACCTCTAAGACATTCAAACTCATCCTTTGAGTCACCTCTTATCCTCAACAAGGTTTGATTTCCATCTTAAATTCCCCATCCAGGGTCAAATTACAATCAACAGATCCCCCAAAAAATCAAAGACTTTATGGCAGTTCAATAAACCCAACTCTCCTCTAATTTCCAGCAAGAGTCAGTTTCTCTTTTGATTCCTCAGAGCAGTTGGAACCTGCTCTTGGATTTAATTTTCCTCATCAAGAGTCAGTCTTAAATTCCCTCAGCCTCCTTTTAGGCTTCATATAAGGATTTTCCTCATTCAGACTCAATCTTGGGCTTTGTACAAGACATATATAATACTCCCCCAGTTGAGACAGTTCTAAATCTATTTTTTAGCTTCAACCTAGGGCTTTGATCAAGGCATATAATTCAATATCCCCACATATGAGACTCTGAGTCCTCTCTGTATGAGGAATATTTCCTCTATACATCACATTTCAAAACAAACAAATAAACCTTTTTCCAGATGATTGATGTAAGTGGCACACTTGTTGATTCAAAATCCAAGCTGGAGTCTTTCCCTTATCATGGCTAAAATTTCCTTTCATCTAAGTAATGTAAGTGGCAAGCCTCTGGATTCTACACATCCAAGCCAATGTCCCTCACTTAGCATGCAAAGATTCATAAAGAAAAAGTGGCATTGCTTTAAACTAAGTTAAAGCTTCTTCCTTCATGACATTTCAACTCTCTTATAAAAAAAGATGTGGCATTGCTGGATTCCACACATTCCAGTTAAAGCAACTTCCCTTATAACCAATCCCTCAAATGTTTGTGATGAATAGGTGAGATATATCCCTTTAGAGATGACAAATTCACTCTCAGTCAAACTTTTTTTAGCTTCAATCATGGGCTTTGATCAATACACAAACACTCTTTTAGCTTTAATCTTGGGCTTTAATTAAGACACAAACACTTTTTTAGCTTTAATCTTGGGCTTTAAACAAGACACAAATACTCTTTTAGCTTCAATCTTGGGCTTTGAACAATACACCAAATATTTTTTCCTTCCATAGAATAGGAGGAACTACGAACGCTCTAATTTCCGCAAATATTTGTACGAGAATACGTAAGCATAAGATTGCGAAATCTTAGCGAGCGCACTAATCAAAAACCTTAGGTCCAGATACCTTTCCAAAAACAATAGAAAATCCTAAAACAACAAAAACATTTCCTCAACCTCCCAAAGGAGAAGCTTTCCCCACCTGGCAACAAATAGACTCAAGAAAGCAATTCAAACAGTAAAAAATCATATGTAAATGAAGGTTCCTATATATCACTATAAATACTATGGGTGTTAATAGCTTCCCTTTGTATAACCAACCCCCGATTTCAGATCTCTTCGCATTTGTAGGGAAAACACTTGCGTGCAGGGTTAGTTTAGGATATCTTCCCCTTCCTTTTAAGTTTTATAGGATAAATATAGAAGTCAGAAAGTAACACCAGTAGCGGTAGTGGTCACACCATAAAAACTGACTGCGGCATTGACCAATTATATAATCTTTAAATCGGTCACAAAATTTTAGTATTACACATCATTTCTACATTTGTGATAATTTACGTTATTACAGAAATTTGAATGGAAATGAATAAAGTGATATGTTTTGAAAAGTAGAGCACCCAAATGGTTTTTTTTAATTTATGGGACCAAAATGAAGCTTGGGTATTAAGCATATTTATTTAAATAGCTGACTTGATAAGTTTAAAAAAATTAATGATATGTGAACTATTTTTTTAAACTAAATAGGCTTATAAAAAGACTTGTGCATTTCTTATTTTTAAAAAATTCTGACTTTGTGTAGGCCCGTGTAGGTTAGACCGTATGTCTCTATTAATCAATCTAATTTATTCTCACCCCTAACTTTCACTCAATTGAAAAAGTATAATAATCAAACTTATTATTCATATTTATCATATTATATAGAGAAAGCACCATAATTAAATTAATGAAGAAAAGGTACGCATAAAACAACAAAAACTCATTCCACCCACAAAATTATTTATTTAGATAAACATAATTGTTTCAAAAATCAAATTAAACATCAAAATGTTAACTTATAGTCAATCTATCTAGAAGCGGGGATGTTTTGGTGGGCGAATTACGGTTGCAGTAGCATCCCGTTCGAATATATGATTTTGAGTAGAGGATGATGGATAAATGATGTTTCTACTCATAATGTTTCTCGTTCCAGATGTTGAATCTCCAGCATTGAACAAATCATTATCACCTACTCTTACTTGTCCTACTCCATCGAGGCATGGGAGGTGATGTTCTTTTCGGTCAATTACCATTGAAGAAATATTTTCTAGTGTAGTGTTTGCAAAGGAAGCAACCATCAAAGTCACCGAACCTGAAGCCACCAATGGGGGCATCACACTTCCCCCAATCACTTGTTCATCTGTTCCTGATAAGTAAACTGCCAATCCTCCAACATTCATTGCTGTTGGCGTTGGGAAAATTGTCCCAGATATCAAAAGAATCTCAAACCTTCCTTGTAGGGTTACAACTCTTCCTGTGGGTAGGCGGAGTCTAACATGTGTCACCAATCCATCTCCATTGAGAATGCATATGGCCCTCCCTTGACGATGAGCGTAATCAAAGATACTTTTCGATATGTCATCTCCATCACTAATCTCAAGCGTATGAGAACTTACAACATTAGTGTTGTCATGTGTTATGACAGGTATCTTGCGTTTGTTCCTGGAGCCAAGAGGACGCCCTCGGGGGCGGTGAGAGACAATAGAAGAAGATGCATGATGTTTGTTATTTACAGTGGTATTAGTGTTTGGTGTTTCGATTTTTGGTTGTGGTGTAGTGAATAGCTGAAGCTCTTGATTTCTCTCAGCACCATGGTCAGACATTCTCTCTTTTTTGTACTCGTCTTTACTTGTTTGTCTTGCTTTGCCAAACCTTTTCACCTTTTAATATTAGTGGTGAAGGACTTGAGATGAATATTTTATTGATAATTTAACTTTAGTCTTTTAAAATTCAAATTAATTGAATAGTTTAGGGCGAAAATTGAGGATGAAAAACAACTTTCCAGTCAATCATGATGAACATAGACAAAACGCGTTTCTTTACTTTTTTTAATATATTTACACCATCCACAGGATTCACACACTTATCTAAGACCACCGACCTTATTATATTCCATTATATTTATTTACTCAAATTGATCTATGAAACTCACTGAAACAAATTAAACTATTACATTTATTAGTTTAATATTTAAATTAATTCATTTACTTAATTATTAAATTGATTTGTTAACATCATGAATAATGTTTGTTTATTTTTCTTTTAAATTTTAATATATTAATTATTTTTTTCTTTTTAATTTGTTAACATCATATATATATATATATATATATATATATATATATATATATATATATATATATATATATATATATATATATATATATATATATATATATATATATATATATATATATATATATATATATATATATATATATATATATATATATATATATATATATATATATATATATATATATATATATATATATATATATATATATATATATATATATATATATATATATATATATATATATATATATATATATATATATATATATATATATATATATATATATATATATATATATATATATATATATATATATATATATATATATATATATAAACTTGTTAACATCATGAATAATGTTTGTTTATTTTTCTCTTTTAAATTTTAATATATTAATTGTCAAATTATCAATAATTAATACTTATATTAAATAACACAAATTTATTTTAATTTTAAAAAGTGACACTTTTAAGAAGAAAAAAAGTCTATCACCTATGTAATTCTACTTAGCTCAAGGGTGTAATACCTGATTTGTAAAAGGGGAGAACATGGTTTTTGGTTTATGGGAAAATGTATGATGTTCAAACTTATCTAACATCTTAATATTAAAATATTGGTTAATTTCATTAACCTCAATATTATTTTGAAGAAATTGACTGTTTATTTACAAATATAAAAATGATTAATATTGATTGAGTTATTTGATTTAAATTTTCATTACCTCTAAATTATTTATTAAACATATGTTTTTTAATAAATTATATGAAAATAAAAAATATGGTGAAAAAGGTAATAAAACATCACCCAAATATAATAGAATATGTTTAATAATTTCTTAGAGACTAAGCTCATCTATTACAAAATACAAATTGTGTGAATTTTAATATGAAAAACAAAATAACCTCTTTTATAAGTTTTCATCTATTTCTATGGATTCTTAAAAATTTGAGAATTTAGAGAGAAATATTTTTAAAATATTTCAAATAAAAAGTTGTTTTTGAATAGCTTCTCAATAAAATAAATTTTAATAACTATTTTTAATAAGTGATTTTCGTTATGCTAAGCATTTACAAAAATCAGATTTGAAAAGTAACTCAACTCAACTGAAATGTATTAGATAGAATTTAATTCTAAACAATCATATTTCTTTAAATTTTTTATAAATTAGATGAGCCATAACTAGAATGCCTAACTAAAAAGAATATACATAAAAATTGTCTATATTAATATGTAAATGGTCAAATGCAAAACTACTATAATTTTATTATATAACAAATTGACACTATATATATATATATATATATATATATATATATATATATATATATATATATATATATATATATATATATATATATATATATATATATATATATATATATATATATATATATATATATTATATATATATATAAATATATATATAAATATAAATATATATATATATATATATATATATATATATATATATATATATATATATATATATATATATATATATATATATATATATATATATATATATATATATATATATATATATATATATATATATATATATATATATATATATATATATATATATATATATATATATATATATATATATATATATATATATAATTGAATTAATTTACTAGTTTAGTCAAATCTTATTTTCATTATTTTAATCGTATACATTTTAACGAATTGTTTTATGTTGATGAACTATATTGATAATGCAATGAGATATATAGATGACTTAACTTTGTGATAAGTCAATGAGATAAATTTTAATATGATATATCTTTGTTATAACGTTTCACATGTAGATCATGTTTATAAAATATAATATCAATAAAAAAAATAATTTGATATTTAATGAGATAGATAAACTTTAATATTATATGGAATTTTATCAAGCACATAAATTTAAATGCATCGCATTGTCGTATAAAATGATTTTCAATTAATGTATAATTTTATATACATGATTTATATGACATTATATTTTAATTCAATAATAAAGATTTGTTGAATTTGAGACAAATAAAGCGGTTTAATATGAGAAAACGTGTTGCGACAATCACCATATCTTCATATCATTTATTCTGTGACACTTTTAATCTTTTAGAGGTAGAAGTGGATCTTTTACAGAAAGTGCAAAAATTCATGCATAATAATATTGTATCACCAAAAATAATCAATGCAATTTTTAAAAGAATTATTTTTGTCATCTAAAAAGGAGTAGTGGAACAACTTATTTGCTCGTTTGCTTGCTATATCAGTATAATTTTAATTATATATTAAATATATAATTTATTTTTAAAAAAATTAGTGAGATTTGATTTTATATATATATATATATATATATATATATATATATATATATATATATATATATATATATATATATATATATATATATATATATATATATATATATATATATATATAATATATATATATATATATATATATATATATATATATATATATATATATATATATATATATATATATATATATATATTCTTACTCCAAAAATAAGTTATTAAAATTACACTATATCTTTATCACTAATTTAATTTTAATCTAATAGCTAATGTTAATAAGTAATTAGATGGAGAAGGAGAAAATTAAATTGGTCACATAATCATTAATTACTTATTCTTTTTAACTATCAAGTTAAAAAAAAAAAAAATTGTCAAAATGTAGAGCGATTTTCATATTAACCATTTATTTTTTGAGTGTGAAAGTCTAAGAAACATATGGAAAGAGATTCTATGATGGGCACATATTAACCATGACCCTGGAGGTTGGCATAGCGAGGTGAAGTGGCTTATTCAACAAACCAATGGTAAAGGAGTCCGCGCCGCAGTCATAAAAATGACAGTTTCTGAGACAATCTATGAGATCTGGAAAGCTAGGAATAACAACATTTTTGGAGAGACGACTAAGATCAATATAATAGGAAAGAAAATTATAGATACACTGGTGTATAGAGGATGGAATACTAAGAAACTCAGAAAGTATATAGTTATCTTAATGATAGAGGGGGGATAGATATCTTGTTAGTAGTTTGTTCTGCCCTTTCTAGTCCTTTGATGTTTTGATGTGTAGCTGGATTCGATGAGATCGCTTGTATTTAGTGACATTTTTTTATTAATAAAGTATTTTATTTTCAAAAAAAATTATTCAAAAAAAAAAAAAAAGATCTATATTAGAGTAGTTGAATATAAGAGTATGTAAAGCAAAATATTCCATGTTTTGTGAGACATCTTGCCTCATTTTAGGTTGCTTCGTGTGCAAATATTCTGAGATAATTGTCGTATTTTTAGTGAAGTGTTTCCTTTTATATACAACTAGTGGAAAATTTATGTGTTCGCACGAGTTCTGGTGTGTTTTACGCATTTATTTTTAATAAATAAAATAATAATAATGAAACCGGATAGAAAAAAAATAGTGAATGGTATAATTGAAAAAATAGAAAAATGTAACAAACAATATGTAAATAAAAAACTCCAAGACAAAATTGAATAAAAGAAAATCTAAAATATAAATTAGAAAAGTGTAACAAACACGATTATTTGATTTAAAATAAAATAAATAATGGAAATTTTTTATTTTTTAAATCCCAAAATTAAAACCTTATTTGGAAATAAAATAAAAAATTAAATAATAATGGAATAAAATTTTGAACTTATTGAAATTTTGTAGTAGATTAAAAATAAGGACGGAAAAGGGGAAATGAAAAACCACAAAAAAAATTACTTGAATGGCCTAATATATGTTAATAATAATACTCGTTTTGTGTTGAAGGAATATAAAGACTCAAAGAAGGAAAACGGTCGAAGAAAAAAGGGAAACGGAAGGTCACAGACAGTGTTATCTATCAATGGAGAAGGTTGTCTTTCCATATAGGATATCCAACTGAAGACAATTTCAAACCACTGTTTATAACTTTTTTTTGTCTACCCGTGTGTTTGGGAAGCGTTTTATAATATGATTGTATTTTAACGCAGTGTTAATGAAAGAATTCCAATAGAAGTTTTGATGTAGTCGCATGCAATACAATTTCGTTTGCAGACTATTTGCAGTGAATGTCGTAGATCCAAGAGATATTGAGGAGCAAGTCAAAGCACTGCCAACCGGAGCGAAGTCGAACAAAAGTTCGATAACAACTAAGTTGTAGTTTTCTCACATCTCGATTTCTTCGGATGATAGTAGGTTAGTAATCGTAATGATATTTATCTTAAAATACGATACTATGTGGGTGCATGATAATAGTGATGAAGAACGATATTCACAACCATTTGGCAGATTAGGTGAATACATGTAAAAAGGGTAAAGTGTATGTATGTATTATGATCATTGTGTTTTATATAAAACAATCGTTTATCCGATATGGGTGTCGTCTTTATTTACCTATTTATCTTTGATTTAAACCGCTATAGACATGTACTCTTCAGATCTGGGTCTAGGATGATTACCTGTTAAGTCCTAAACTCTAGACATAGATTTGGGCTTAGCATTTGCGTGAGT